TATATATATATATATATATATATAATATAAGGAATCTGTAGTGTTTTTTTAATATTGCAAGTCATAATTGATTTTATTCAATGATTTACTTATTAAACACATATTTAAATACACATATTATAGCAATGACTCCTGTTTGTGATTTTTTTATCTTTTCAGTTGATGTTACGACTGTGTATATTGAAGATAATCATAGGTAACAAATAATTTTGAACTGGTATTCTGATGAAAAAGCCAAAGAATGCATATAAAGAAAGGAAGATCAGAGAAGAGTCTGGTAGATCCTAAAGATTGAATCCACTTCAAGGCAACCATTTCTTATACAGAAGAAAAAGCATACTCAATAGCTGCTCATACCCTGATTCTATTTCTTGATGTAATAAAAACCCTGGCATTTGAACATTTTCTTGTAACAATATATTTGTTAATTCTGGCCAGTATCCCACTCTGACTGGTTATGGATCTACAGGCTTCATATAGAAGACAAAAAGGAAAGGTTTCCCTGTCAGTTATGTCTGAATCTATGGCACAGAGCTCATCTCCATTTCTTGGCCGAGGGAATCAGCATTGTCCAAAGACATTTTCCAAAGTCACGTGGCCAGCATGGCTATACCCCAAAGGCACATGGAACGCTGTTACCATCTCATGGAGTGGTACCTATTAATCTTCTTCATTTGCATGCTTTTGAACTGCTAGGTAGACAGGAGCTGCGGCAAGTAATAGGAGTTCACCTTGTTGTATGGAGCTTGGGTCTTGAACCCAGGCTGTTACTCTCCAGCGGACAAGCTCGGCATCTTTAAATGGTGAGCCCCCTCACAGAGAATAATATATCTCTTATCAATTACCTGATCTTTTGAACTGGAATTTCTTGGCCTTATAAAATATAGAACATATAGAATGCTGGAATTATCCATGCAACATCTTGCATGGCACATTTGTAGTATTATTAATGTGCTACATTTATATCCCATTTTTCTCCATTAGTTCAATGCAGCATACATACAGATTTCGCTTCATTCATCCCTCAATCATCCTATGAGAAGCTGATGCAACAGAAAGCTTGAGCCAAGTTATCCAGTGATTTTTAATGGGTGAACTTGAACTGGGTTATCAAGCATCTTAATTAACTTACCACATTGGTTCTCTGAGTGGCAACATAGTCAAATACTCAAGAGAAGCATGCAAGACAACCATATAAGTTAAACAAAGGAACCTAGGTTAAGTAATTCTCAGCATTTTGAATTTTGACTAAGCTATTAAGACCTGAGTTTGGGATGGCTGTAACTTCTCACAAGATCTTGACTGAAGCTCTCTATAAAAACTTTTTTTCAATAGTTGTTCACTCCGGCTGATTCTGAAGACGCACCCAAATTTTCATCCTCTTTTATGGGGGGAAAGGTGCGTCTTATACTCCGAAAAATACGGTATATGGAAAATGTGAGATTACCAAATTACTGTTGTGAAGAATACAATGCTGAGACATACACAATCTTAATCAAGTATAGAAATGGAATTAAAGTGTTTTTATTCTGGAATTTTCTCTTTTGGTCATGGAAGATGGAAGTAAAAGAATAAGAAGATGGCAATGAATCTACGCCGTATTTATAAGATAATCTGCTCTTAATTTGGTGAAAAACAAACTGATAAAGCCTCCCATCACTGCTAACTAAATTAAACAATGAGAATGACAGAACATAGACTGATTAGGAGAGATTAGTCAAGCAGAAACACAAAGAAACCTGAAAACGTTTTAACAATTTTCTCTCATTGTTTGAAGAAAGCTAGAGCCTGCTTTTATACATGGGCATGCCTTCTCATCAGAGACAGCACTGTTCTACATTTCCAACTAGCTCCATGTATTTTAGTACTTTGGGAAATGTTAACTTCTTAACTTTTGACAGGTCAGAACTGATAATCCACCCGGCATCCTTTGGCCAGGGGACAATCTCATGTTGAAAAAAAAAAGAACCTAAAACAAAAATAAAAATACTATTACATTGCCATGAAGAAAATAGTTCATAAAACAGAGAAATCCAAGCTGCAGTGTTGCAAAAAAGCTGTGGACAGCAAAAGTAGATTTGTATAGCATGTGAAAGAATTTCAGTTTGGTTCTGCTGCATAAGAAAAACCATGGCATTAGTCCTTGCCCAGAGAATCTTTTTAGCAGTTGGGAGCTATTTGCTTTTTTCAAAATATAGGTAGGTATGCTAAGAATCACGAGGAAGTATGTAGAAAGCTAGTAAAGAAACAAGGACTCCAATAGAAATACCAATGATAAAGAATTGAAAATATATAATTTTAAGAGCCACAATAAATCAAGACAAGTAGAAGCAAACAAAAAGTACTTAATATTTAGAGTAAGTCATGAAGTGAGTTGAATACCAGGGCTTAACTTCCTGACTAGGAAAAGAAATAAGTTGAAATCTAGTAATTTCAAGTTTAGACAAAAACCAAAACCATATCTCTGAGCAATTGGGGAAGGGGGGGGATTTATTAATGAAATCCAATTAAAATAGAGAAATAGATTTTCACTGATGCTAATGAATACTTGTAGAATGGTGCTTAAAAAGTTGTGAACCAGTTTGAATTTTCAATATATATGCATAAATATGATCAAATAAATAAGACCAATTTTGGCATAAATATGACTTATTCAGAAGGCTGAATATAGGTTGCTATTTATGGACTGCTGAACTAGTATCTCCTATGCAGTTTTGACTACTAAGACTAAATGGAGTGTAACCTTAATGCTTGCACCCCTTTCTATTTGGCCAGAACCATAGATTGAATTAATTATGTGGTGCCAAGGCACGATGCTTATTTGATTTCTTTCCAGAAAAAGAATAATTGGCTTGGTGTAAAGGCATCAGCTATGTGTATTGTGCCAGAGGAAAGTGCAGGTATAGCACAATGGGAGCATAAAACAATGCAGGATCATATTTCACTACTAGATTATTATATTGGGGACAAATAACAACTTTAAGAATGTTGAATGTGACCATCAAATATAATATATGGTAGCAAAATACTGTACTTTTAGACCATACCTCAGGAGTCAACTTGGCTATCGATGTGAAAAGCATGGATACGATCTGTAAGAGAGGAAGAAATCCTTTCATCATATGCAACTCTCATGAAAGTATTCCAGTTAGGCTCTCAGAGTGGATATAATAACAGCTAGTAACTTACATGTTCTGCAAGCCTGTTGTTATATCGACAAAGACTGAAAATAAGATTGCAGGTCTGCCTAATATTGATTCCATCCCGAATATGTTGGAATAAGAAAGGAAAACCCTGGAACAAATTCAATGTGTTACTGTAGCAGATATTTTAAAATAAGATGTTTTAAAACTCTTGTTGTTTTTATGTCCAGTTATTACCTTGCCTCCAGTTAATGCTGCCATATCATTTTGGGATAAAGTCAAATGCCTAAAACACATATAAAGAATGGACCAATTTATTTCATTAATCAACCAATTAGTAAAAACAAAATTGCTTTCTTGAATTTTCTTGGAGTAGTCCATGTAAAACCACTTTTTTAGGAAGCCAGCTAACAAATGCTAGGAAGCTCAAGCAAGATATATTGAATCTCCATTAAGTAGGAACAGGGAAGGAAGGAAGGAAGGAAGGAAGGAAGGAAGGAAGGAAGGAANGAAAGAAAGAAAGAAAGAAAGAAAGAAAGAAAGAAAGAAAGAAAGAAAGAAAGAAAGAAAGAAAGAAAGAAGGACTTTTCTTTCCAGAGTTCCGGATCCAAAATCAGGGGGGGGGGGGAAATCAATGCGAATTGATTTTAATGGCAAAAATATGCAAAATGTGGGTTACAATCAAGCAACTGTTTTTGCCCTTTGAATGTTTTATATATGGCCTTACCCTCAAATTTTATACCTAAATACTATGAAAAGTGTACCACCTGTGAATAAGCCCATCAGCTTAACAACAGATGGCTGAATCTATGAGTGTATAATGGATATATGTAAGAAGTATTAACATGTTTTCATGAATAAGCTGAACCCAATTTTGGATATATTTCGGCACCTGAAATTCTTGGCTTATATATGATATATGTAAAATCTTAAGACCTATCACATAAAGGCCCTGACTGTTAAGTTTTCTAGATTGACTTATGCTGTCAAATAATATAAAAAGTATTAAAAACCAGAATAGGTTTTTGCAGGTTTTCTTGTTCCTTTTACTCTTTATTACTTTGTGTTAGCTTTTGATGTTCTTTATAAAACTTTTTTAAAAATCCATTAAAAACAGATGAATAAATGCAATACATAAACAAACTGATATATGTGAATATACTCCTCACCTCTCTGATCGAGACTGTTCTACCAGAAGGGCTATCAGAGCAATCATCTTTTCAAGTGCAGCAGGCCTATATTTTTCTTCTGCTAAAGAAAGAATGTCTTCCTCCTCCTCCTCCTCCTCTCCTTCTTCTTCTGATAGTACCTCAACTTGGGGCTGGCAAAAAAAAAAGCAAATCATCATCATCATCTCCATCTCTCTCTCATATTACAAATCTCTGCAAAAGGACATATTTTACTAAAGGAGCAAGGACACATAGCATTACTCTGCCCCCTTCTCTCTCCCTCCTCCCTCCCTCTTTCTCTTTCTCTTTCTGAGTATTTAACCACGCTAAGCTATAGAACTGCAATAAATTATCTCAAATATAGATTTATAATCAACATATAGAATAAAGATCTACTATAGATAATACTATAGACACAATCTGTTTGGAAAACTTAGAAGTGGAGTGGAGATCGTGATAATTTGTTAAAGACAATTTTTTGCAGAGTAAAGGTCAGAGTAGTCATGAAATATCTCCTAGAAAGACTGGGTCTTATCCAGTAAAGTCCCAATGAGAAATTAGGTTATAAAAGATTACTCCAGACTTACATTTTCAGGACCTTTAGTTCCCATGTAGAAATGAACCATTGTTGAAATTGCTTGCAGAGAAAGCAAAAACTGGCTCTGAAAATAATTGAATATAAAATATAACAACTGTTTATATTCTGCCTTCCTCTCTAAATTAATTTTTTGTAATAAACATAGAAATGCAAAGATTAAATAACAAAAATGTTAACAGCACTCAAACTTAGTAACGAATAATAAATATAACAGAATTCATGAAAAATCACTCACCTCCTCTTCTCCCATTTTGGCAAATTCATAAAGAAAGGCAAAGTATTCTGTGAGATGTTTACTGTGAGGTTTAACACCATGTTCCATAATTGACAATAGGGTCTTCACAAAACGAGTCACACATGAGCGACTACCAATATCTTCCACAGGACCATCCATGTCATCTGAACTGAAAATACATTTCATTGTTCATCAGTGTATATTGTAGTCACTGAAGGCAAAATGATCCAAAACTAATCTGAAAACTTGTTCCAACCTCCTATATTATGTAAAATGGACTATATGGTTAACAGTGCTTACTTTACTATACAGTACATGCTGTGATTATACCTGCATGAATAAATTCTTCTTAATTACATGAACTATATTAATATTGTAACATTGAAAAGGATGCCATAATCCTCCAAGAGAAATTGTTTATAATTTACCATACTGCTGTTTATTTTCTAATCACAGTGTAATATAAAATATTATCTGATATAAAAGACCAATGTAAATGTTTCCCAATGTACTTGTATAATACTGACATACAATAAAATTAGTGTTACGCAATAAATATTTGAAATAGATGGAATTGTTTTAAGAAAATGTACCAGTCTTCTAGTCCTGGCTGTAGGTAGAGATGAGCATGGACTGGCCTGAGCCGCTGAATCACATGAATGCACAAACGCTGAAACATCTGTAAAGTCATAAGCTTTAAGGTTACTTTGGGATCACAGAAATATTTGCTTTCACAAAGCTTTAGAAACATAGTGATCATGGATTACTTGGTTGAAAAGTTCATTGTTGAATTAGTGATATTTTGCCTTCATGTTACACAATTAATACTATTTTATACAGACTATATCTTAAATCATTTAATCATAGAATCTTTAAAGATTACAAAAGACTTTCAATATACACTTGTTCAGCCCCTTGTTCAATGCAGGAATTTATTATTGTAGCATTCTTGACAAACAGCCATGCAGAGCCTCTCTGAATAAAAGTCCACTACATTTTAACAGTCAGTTTCTTTGTGGAACAGCTCTTATTAGAATATTTTTCCAGATAGCAAACATAATTTTAATTTAAACACATTGGTTTTTATATTGTCTTCAAAATAACTCTGAAAAATATCACATTGTCTTCTTTGTGATGGCTTTTCAGATATTTGAAGACACCTATCCTGTGTTCATGCAGCCTATACAAACCCAACACCTCCAACCATTGCTCAAGTTTTTAAAGCTTCTTATCATCTTGACTGCTGACTTTTACATACATTCCAGTTTTTCAATATTCTTTATAAAAGAATATGGCCAAGGCAAGATAGAGAAAAATTATGACTTCCTTTGGTCTTGGCACTATACTTCAATTTGTGCAGCCCAAGACTATATTTGCCTTTTTTTTTTTTTTGCAGAAACAGCACAAAAAATGTTAGAACTACATAGAAGATTTTAGTATAACTTCTAAGGTATTCCACTTGCAACAATCCAAATTGAAGTAGTATTTCCATATACAAAATTGCCTTTGGCCTCATTCTTCAGGTAGCAGGCTCCTCTGGTTGAATGGCAAAACAATACCGGGAGAGAAGTTCAGGTTTTTATATTAAATTAAACATAAGCTATTTGTAATATATAATGGGGCCTCTTATTCAAGTAAAAATGCACCTAAATAAATATTTGTAAATCTATTTTGGTATGTACTAAATTTCAAGGTCCACATGTACACTTAGACTTTGTTAGATTATTTATCAGAAATCCTTCTAAAAATTGCCAGACTGTTTTTCAGCTGAAGACCTCAAAGAATTTGAAGTACATCTCAAATATATGTAATAATATCCAGGGCACTTCAACCTAACATTTGGTTTGATGGTTAAAATTCATACTGTGAATTTAAGAAATTAAACCTTAAGCAATAACATTTCAAATGACATATACTATGCTTTATCGTACCTGTCTTACAATCTGATTGGGGCATTTAATTAAAATCTGCATAGGCCACCAGTCATCATCAGCCATACGATCAAGAAACCACTGGGAAAAAAACATATGTAACATTTTAGCATATATTCCTTAACAATGAAAACATTTTCTATTCTATTACACATTCCTAGCATATTTTATTATCATTGCTTAAACAACTTAAGTATAACTCCACAGGTAAATATCGGCATAATTGGGAAGGAGAAAAAAACAATTTTTCACAGCTGTTTGAAAAAATGAAGGCCAAGGGTGATAGTTGTTCATGCCACCCACAGTGCATTCAGAAAGCATTCACACCCCCTTCACTTTTGTCAATTTTGTTATGCTGCAGCCTGATTTACAGTTGTTGAAATTCATTTTTTCTCATTAATCTACACTCAGTACCCCATAAAGACAACGTGAAAACAGATGTTTAAAAATGTCTGTAAATTTATATTAAAAAGAAAAAACTGAAATATCACATTGACATAAATATTCAGACCCTTTGCAACAACATTTGAAATTTAGCTCTGGTGCCTCTCATTTATCTTGATTGTTAATGACATTTTTCTACACCTTGATTGGAGTCAACCTATGGTAAATTAAATTGTTTGGACATGATTTGGAAAGGCATACAACTCTCTATGGAAGGTTTCACAACTGACAATGCATATTGTAGCAGAGCAAAAGCTATGAGGTCAAAAGTACTGCCTGCAGAGTTCAGAGACAAGATTATTGCAAGGCATAGATCTGGGGAAGGCTACAATAAAATTTCTGCTGCACTAAGAATATAGTGGCCTCCATAATTATCAAATGGAAGAAATTTGGCACAACCAGGACTCTTCTAAGAGTTAATTCCCCAGTCAACTGAGCAATCAGGGGAGAAGGGCATTAGTAAGTTAGGTAACCAAAAACCCAATGGTCACTTTGACTTAGCTCCAAAGCTTCTATGTGGAGATGGGACAGAATTCCAAAAGAACCACCATCACTGCAGTCCTCCACCAACCTGGGCTTTATGTCAGATTTAAATAGGGCTGGTCTGAAGAGGCCCGAAAACGGAACTTTATCCTGAATCAGACCTTCCCCATCTGATAACTCTAAATCCAAAATCTCACCTTCCTCCCCTAAAACAGACCCCTCGATGTAGATGGAAGGCAAGGGAGAAGGGGGATCAGCATGAGAGGTGGCTAAATCTCTGGCAGAAATCAAATTCCTAGAGCGTTGACTCGTACGCTGTAATTCTGCATCCACTCCCCTAGATATGACAGTGGCAATCATGTCCCTGAGCCCAGGGGAGAGGTCAAATTCTGAAGTATCCTCCGGTCTGCTGCCAGCAGCAGTGGGAGTAATGATGGTTGAGGCCCCTGAACGGGAGGGAGTTGGGCCTGGGCTGGGTTCAGAAGTATCAGACGAGCCCTGAAGGCCTGAGTCAGGTCCTGCAGTTGTGAGATCCTGAGGGAGAGGGAGGTCTGGGGACCAGCCTTGAATTCCAGTTAGGCAGGAGGTAGAAGGCCCTTCAGGCAGCAGGATGGGAGGTGGCCCGGGGGCTGAGGGATCCCTAGACCCGTTCTTGGTC